TACGGCCCGGATTAGCTACAGCGAATAAAGCGCGGTGCGGCAAACGATGGCTGGGCAATACGCAATACGTGCTCTAACCAGCGAAGTCTACTAATCTGATTTCGGTATGCCAGTAGGTTTATACCTGATAGACTCCCAAGCATTCGGCGGATTGACTCCACATTACTAACCCGTTCGCTACATCCAATGTAGTATAAACTACGTAAACACCGATAATCGATATCTTCTAATCACAAATTCAAGGTTTCTCAACCATAAAGGAGAACTGTGGCACTATACACACGAACATTCAACTTCACTAAATCGTCACGTCTACGCCAAAGGTGTTTCAGTCCTGTGGATGTTGTTCGAGCTGTCGGGCATCTCCTTTGCTGCAGTACCGTCATTGGTCACGCAACTACCTAAGTAGGAAAAGTAATCCACCACAACTAAATCCTGGCCATTTAGTGTCAGAGTGGGAGTAAACAAAACCCAGTCCTGCAGCATCACATTGCACTGTGAAGGTCCAAAGCACATGCACTTGTTAGTGCCGATTAGGATATCTTTTTTAATGCAGATGAAACAGCGGCTCCCATATGGTGTGTTATAGATTTTAAAGCAGAAACTGTGTTATTCCAAACATGACTGTCCGATGTCAACCAAAAACTGATTATCCAAATGGAATGCTCTATCTCTATCTATTTTCAAATGACATCGCTTGCCATAAAACAACCGTAGCACTCTTGCATGTGAATTTAACATGGTAGCCTCCAACGTGTTCTTCAGTGGTACAACGATTGGGTAAGATTTGATCCTTCACTTGTCCAGTTCGGAACTATTTTTCCCGAATAGGTATTTGTCTTTCCGATTAAACTATAGTTTGGAAACCCGCGTTCATCTGCGTGTACTGATCAACGATGACTTCATCAATCCTGGGCTCAAACCCACATTGATAATGCCGATGATGTAGGCATTAATAGATAAATGCGATAGGATCAAAGATTTTACGCATTGCACATAGGTATTGATGATCATCACTGAGGAATGTTGTGTCAAATTCCAGTCTTCGGTTTTGGATAAAATCCCTTCCGAGCCAATCTGAGCATCGCAAAGACTAACACGGATGTGAATCAGTGAATACATCGACCGATATCTCAGTCCGATAGGCGCAGTCATTCCTGGATCAGTACACGTGTTTTTTCTTGGCCGATGCTCAGATTTTGGATGAATTACGGAAGCGTACAATTGATGCAACGAGCGTATCGTGCTGAGTTTACGAACTATAACTGTGACACTGGTGCTAACTGACGCTGACCATAACAAATGTGTATCGATCGGTTTCCGTGTATACCAACAACAACAAAGGCGGACGAACAAATGGATGGATGGCTGTTAACAGCTACCATGTTAGGCATCTTTTCCATCAAAAAGCATGAATAATTGTATGGCGAACAATGGATGCTCGAAGTATGGATAAAACGTCAATGTACCACCCTGGTCCAGTAACAGATGTTTCACTTGTTTTCTATTGTGTGGTTTCTCTTGAACACGGTTTCACTAAAGTTTCAATTTGTACAACCATTAGCCGTGCACTTTCGTGTGCCGGTTTNTGCCGGTTTTGGTTGTCCATTTTGACGATCCCGTTTGGAATAAGACTGGAAAGTTGAAAGTAGAGTGGAAGAGAAACAGGCTAATTTCAATGGGCTAAGTTTGTGAACGAATTGAAGAGATGTACGAACGCCACTGTTTTGCTAAAGAATTATGCATTAGACCATGTGAGTCGTCATTACAGTCAAAACCGTGTTAGATCACGAAGGACACCATGTACTGGATTCGGTGGTCAATCCTGAAATGCAACTGAGTTGGACAATATTAGGAAAGGAAACAGGAGTATTTTCAAGATTAACAGCTAATTTGAAGTGAAAAGGCGCTACATTCCGAGCGTACCGTTCTCATTTCAAGTTGAGGACTTCAAAAACGATTGAAATCCCCTCTATACACTTCGATAATAAGTTTATTTAGTTCGTGATTTAAAAACATAGCAGGCGATAATAAATTATGGAAACCAGTAACGGAAGTAACGTCATTTTCATCGATTTGATTCATTTTGTCACAAACACCAAAACTGATTTCTCATACTACTTGAAAGCCTACACTACTGATTTTAACATATCATGTCACAATTTAAGGGAATTCGCTCACGTTTTCGGATTCCCGAGGGATGCAACATAGCATAAGATTGACTTTAGATTCAATTTACGATTGCATGCACATTTTAGCGCGTTATTCAACAGTATTAGAAATTAAAGGAATTATTATTTTTTTTAAAGTCTGATATCTGTCAATCTTATTTTTGAGTGATATAGCAACATCCTTCATCAAATGTCAACAGATTTCTGTCAGGATGAATAAAAAGGGAGCAGGCAGGTGAATGAAATCAGCTTGTCTATAGTGGAATTGGTTCAGGTTGAAAGATTTATCCTTTCAGTTTTACATGCCAGAAACTCACTGAACTGTCAGATATGATCGGGATTATGTAAGCCAAATTGTTCTTGTTCAACAGCGTTCAACACCGTTCACTGAGGCATTTCACCGGGAGCGATATGGTTGACCAGTAAAACGAAATCCCTTTGGACAATCGAATTCACACAGAGTATGATCGAGAACCAACTGATCGAGACCAATATAAGGAGGAAATCGAGTTCACAAGAATAGTTCTGAAAGCCCATACCTTAATTTAAAAGCTCAGCGTATGTTTTAGCTTTCTGTCCTTTCAAAACATTCAAAATTATACTTGCTCATTCTCTGTCTTTGTCTACTTTCCCAAAGGACGGACATAAATCAGACCCCAGTCACAAATTCTCCCAAATGGAGTTGAGCAATCACCAAGTGAATAATCATAATTCGGGTCACGTGACCGCGGTCGAGACCGGACAATCGATGGATGAAACACGTGGCGAGCCGATTGGTTGCGCGTCCCGGTCACCGGATTTTCAGACGACTGGCAATTTGTGCAACGTGAAAGCAGATAGAACCGACCGGGTGGAACATTCAAGTTGGTCTCCGACCCCAATCACCAATCGAAAGCAACTGAGATCAATGAACAGTTTGCAGCGTCTGGAAAGATTGACCATGGAAGCCAATCAAATGCATGCGGAATTGAAAGCCGCGACTAGGATTTGTGGAGCGACTGGTGAACTGAATTCAGGTGAGTCAGTTGAGTGGGTTTCCCAGTGGTCACCGGTTGAGATAAGAATGCGTGGGATAAGTATTACTAGAAATAATAATACTTCAGTATTGTCAATAGTCATAAATTTATATAGAAGTCCTCATGTGTGGTCAAAAACTCACCGAACAGTAGGCCGACTATCAACTGGCGCTCTGTTCGTTTACCGACTAGCAAGTTGTTCTCGGATATTGGGGTTTGAACATGAAAATGTTGGCTACAAAAGAATATGAAAATGTTCATTTCAAGTGGCCATGTGCTCAATAAGTCGATGACTTAAGGTTTATGCCATTCCGTTACAAATTCATATTATATTCTCCGGTGAAAATCCGCGAAACACAGAGAATTACGATTGATTCAGATATTGATGCAAATAGTTAGCCTAATAAAAGACTTATACCAGCAATTACTTAACATTGCAGTCCCTCATTCAAAAATCATGGCAAAAGGGGGGGGCAACGATGATGATGGGCATTCGGATGATGATGATGATGATGATGATGACGATGATTCGGATGATTCGGATGATGATGATGATGATGATGATGATAATCAGGATAAAATCAGTAGCGAGCCTTTCAAACAGAGGGGGCGATTTGTTTTTTCCAATGGTGTACAGCATTGGTCAACTGGTTTTTGTTTGTTTACGCTTTTACACAGAGTCTCGTCACCGTATCCGTGCTCGAACTGCGTTCTTTTCATGCTATTTGACGGATGGTAATGAAAAATCCACAGGAGGGAGTGAAAATAGGAGGCAAAGTTCTCGCATAACGATAATTCAACCAAAAACCAATGTTGTGGTTCATTGGATTCCGTCAACCCGCTGTTTATCACATTTTTTATCAAATCACTGTGTTCTCACATCTCGGGATTCATAATGACAGGTTGCCGTTTTCACAGTCCTGACACAATGCTTTTGTATCATCGCTTGGCTCGAATCGAGGCATTACAAGGGCCATCTGGGAAGATATTCCAGGTGTCAATCTTATCCAATGTCTCTATCAGTTGGACAGTGCAAGATTGAACATAATCTGTTTCCGTGTTGTTCAGACCTTCTCAGCTCGAAATCTAGATAACTATTTTTCTGCGGAACTACTTATCGCAGTCTCCCAGTTGGTTTCAAATTATCGTCACAGTGGTACGCTACCCAGCTGTCCGAATTTTGTGAATCCCAGGTTCGTGAACTTGAAAATTGGTTGTTTAAAACTTAGATGCACGGGAAAATATTAAAGAGGATAAAACATACATACATGTCGGATAGAATAGATTGTAAGCAAAACACAACTGCG